TAGCTGTTCCTAAGTTTAGAGCAGCCTAATAATAACCAAAAATTTTAAAAAAAGTTAATTTATCAAGCAGTCATAGTGACTGCTTGATTATAAACTGACAAAAAAGTTATTTCTTTTTTTATATACTTTTTTTTTTTTCTTTTATAAAGTGTAAAAAATAAAAATAAAGTGTAAAACAAAATTAGGAAAATAAAAATTATATATAAATATATTTATTATACTATAATATAAAACATTAAAAAAAAAAATAATCAAAACTTGAACAAAAAAGTGTTTTGTGATTTATTAACAGAAACTGAAAACTAGCTCAGTCATGAAGGGGTTAAGTTACAAAAAGCGTTGTCCTACCATGCAGCACAATTAAGATGCGACAGCTTCATTAGCACAAGTTGATTAAATGAAGTTGACTATCAGACAATCACAGTTGCAACATTTTCTCAAAAACATTAGCAGCTGACTGAACGATTTTGTTGCCTCAAGAGGTATTTTAACAAAGCAATTAATTACTATTTTATTTTTACTTACCTTGCTTTGATCGGAAAGTTCTGGCACATATCACGCAAAACTTTTAAAGCTTCATAAGGAGGCGTGGAGGAAATTTTGGAGGCCGCTTGAAAGCTCAGATCTGAAAAACACACATAGGCACTAAGAAAAATGTGCAACTGAACAGACTTGAGAAAAAAAAATAGCAAAAACGGTAGTGTTCTTTGCATCAATTAGCAGATTGCTCATAGCAGCTACCACAGAGCACATTTCACAAGATTTCTGACACATCCTTCCAATTAACAGAAGACAACAATGTATTACATATTAAACTCCAACAAGCTCAATTCGCTTCCAAATCTTCTAAATGGCAACATACTGTCCGCAGTAGGGGAAGCTTATTTCTTTAAAAAAAAAGAGAGAGAGAGAAAGAGCCTTTGATGTCTGTTTTAAGGAGCAGAAATTCATTTGATGTCATGTGGACTTTACCTGCAGCTTTCTGACAGCTTGTAAAATTAGACAAGCACTGATACATGTTCATTATGTGAATTTGGAGCCGAACAATACAGCATTACAGATTTACAGTTTTCCACAGATGCATTATGATTTGAGGGTTGCCAACGAGCTCATTTGAGATCTCCTGATAAACATTCATATCCGTAACTGCAAAGTGAACATCACTAGTATAATTGCAGCATTATGATAAAAAAAAAAAAAAAAAAAAAGACTAGCACTCAATTGCATTTAGCTATTATCTAAGAATTTATAGTCACAGGTTTCACATTCTATTTGACTGCAGTCTGAAGCAGTTAAAACAAAATTTACTTGATTCACATTCTTTATTTGATAAAGCAATGTGTAACTACTCAGTAGAACACTATACATCTAAACTGCATCCAGCCTAGAAACAATCAGAATCAGACAGGATGCCAAGCTCAGTAAAAGTCTGTATGTGGTCTTTACAATGGTCTTCAATACCTTACAGTAGAGCTGTTCTGCCTAGTTGCTCAAAAGGAGTACACTTTTTTAATAACCAGGGCTCAAAATTTCCACTTGCCTCCTCGCTTTTGGCGAGTGGAAATTGGGGGTCTCAAAGTACTGGCCCGCGAGCCAACTTCGGCCCACAAACCGGTACTATGTGGCCTGCAGCCAGCTGGCAAGTCAGGCACACGATCACGGACCATGTACCTGACTTGCGAGAACAGCAACACCGTCTGCATCTGTCGGATGCAGACCCCAGAGCTGCTCCAGTCACTTCCAACACTCAGATCCTTTCGGCCGGCGTTCATAGTTAGGTTGAAAAAAAAGACACACGTCCATCGAGTTCAACCTTTATTTTATGCTTGAGGGGGGGAGGTTGGAAAGGGAGGGGAGTGTATTATTTTGTGCGTGCGGACGGAGCTTGGAACGGGGGGAGTGTATTATTTTATGTGTGCGGGGGGAGTGCATTATTGTATGTGTATATTAGGCCCCATTCACACCTATATTTCAGGTGTGATTAGGAATTCCTGTGTCAGGAACTTGCATTTCCCTGCAGCAGGAAACCCTAATCTGCCGTTTACAAGCAGCAACTATCATAAGATAAGAATTATGATAAGATTATTTAAGAGGGAGTGTTTAGGAGCGGAGTTAGGGCCAGGGCAGGGTATGGGTTAGGTAGGGCAACTGGTGGCGAGTAACTCTTAAGGCCTGGCTAGTAGCTCAGGACTTGAAATTTTGAGCCCTGTAATAACCATGCTCATATTTAGGTACACACGCAACAATATTCTGATCTTGAAAGCCTACTAACACCAGAACTCAAAAGACCAAACGACAACAAAGGGGGTCAGCTAGGAGAGTACAACACCCCCACCCCCCTTTCCATTAATCCATCCAAACACAACCTCTGCTAACAGAAAATAACAAAGTCAAAGCAAAATGTACAACCTACACACTGGCTACACATTCAAAGATAGGTAGAATGTAGTACCATATTGATTTTAGTTGGGGATCTTTTGTTTTACCAGTTATCTGGTTTTTGAGCATAAATAAACTTTTAATAATCAAAAAGTGTTTTGAGTCTTTTTCTAGCCAAGATGACTGTTTTGGTACACTAGCCGATTGCACTTCAAATACAATTTTTAATGTCAGGAAAGCATGGGATTAGTTCAAGGAGCTAAAAGCTACAAAATTAAGTCTAAAGATAATTGTTTCTTTACACCAACATCTGTGGCTGTACTTCAGCTGACACAAATCAATACCAGATTTACAATACATAACAAGAAATATCCCCTATGCAAGCAAATAAAGTTCATGAGAAAAAAAAATACATTTTAAACTGACAAGTATATTTTTATATGGCATTTAACAGAAAAGTGCAACTTCTTAAGAAGTGCTCTTTCCTTGAAGGAGAACTATGGTATGAGTGAAATACACTCTTCACCATAGTTAGAGCCAGCGTGTGACCCTGAAGCTGTCACATATCAGCTCTATTGATCGAAAACTGAGCGATCACATACCACTGATCGCACAGTTCCTGATCTACTCCCTGCAGAGAGTGGTGACTGTCAGTCACCTCTCCCTGCAGGGTTTCCCCCCTTCCCTCTCCATTCCTTTTGCGTCAACTGGAGGGACAGACAGGAGGGGGTGGGCATAGCTGGCTCTGCCTCTGGAGGTTTGGCCATAGTTCTTTTTTAATGTATATATTTGATGCATGCTGGAAACAGATCAATGAATAGAGACCAGGAATGAGCAGTATATGTTGACAACGTCAGTTTAACCACTTGCTGACCAGGGTATCAAGCCCCCTTCCTGTCCAGGCCATTTTTCAGTATTCAGCGCTGTTGTACTTTGGCTTAACGATTATTCAGCCATGCAACGCCATACCAAAATGAATTTTATATCATTTTTTTGGGACAGATAGAGCTTTCTTTTGGTGGTATTTAATCACTACAGGGTGTTTTATTTTTTACTACATTGAGGAAAAATTACAGAAAATTTGGAAAAATAACATGTTTTCCCAATGTTAAGCTATGAAACATCGCACACAATCTTTCTTCATAAATTTAGGACAAAATGTATTCTGCTACATTTCTTTGGTTAAAACCCCCCAAATAAGTGTATATTAATTACAGTGTGTGAAAGTTATACATTCCACAGACTATGGTATATACAGTGAGGAAAAAAATTATTTGATCCCCGGCAAATTTTGTAAGTTTGCCCACTTACAAAGAAATTAAAAGGTCTATCATTTTTTTTATCATAGGTGTATTTAAATGACAAAAATCCAGAAAAAACACATGATACAAATGTTATAAAGTGAGTTGCAGTTCAGTGAGTAAAATACGTAAGTATTTGATCCCCTACCAACCAACAATAATTCTGGCTCCCACAGACTGGTTATGTGGTACACAGATTAGTCCTGTCAATTTAAGAAGGTGCTCCTAACGGCAACTCGTTAGATATATAAAAGACACCTGTCCACAGAAACTTTTTTCCATTCAATCCTCAGCACCATGGACAAGACCAAAGAGCTGTCAAATGACGTTAGGGACAAGACTGTAGACCTGCACAAAGGCTGGAATGGGCTACAAGACTATCAGCAAGAAGCTTGGTGAGAAGGAAACAACTGTTGGAGCGATTATTCTCAAATGGAAGCAATACAAAATAACCATTAAATCGCCCTCACTCTGGAGCTCCATGCAAGATTTTGCCTCATGGGGTAAGGATGATCATGAGGAAAGTGAGGGATCAGCCCAGAACTACACGGGAGGAGCTTGTGAATGATCTGAAGGCAGTTGGGACCACAGTCACCAAAAAAACCATTGGTAACACATTACACCGCCATGGATTGAGATCCTGCAGCGCCTGCAAAGTCCACTTCCTCAAGAAGGCACATGTACAGGCCCGTCTGAAGTTTTCCAATGAACATCTAAATGATTCAGAGAAGGATTGGGAGAAAGTTCTGCGGTCAGATGAGACCAAAATTGAGCTCTTTGGCTCTGGAACTCGGGGAGCAAGGATGTGTCAGAAACACAGGGTGCAGATAAGTCTTGAAAGGCACACTCTTCGGGCTTTCTCTCCTTGCTCTTCCTTGGCAGTCTTTACTCTCTCCTGGCTGTCACTCCTCTCTCTATTATTGCTGTCTTTATCTCATGGGTGTCTCTCCTCACTCTCTCCTTGCTCTCTGTCCTGGCTGTCTCTCCTCTCAGTCCCCTGGCTCACTCTCCTCTTTTTCCCCTCGCTGTCTCTCTCTGCTCTCTCCCCTGGCTGTCTCTCCTCAGAGAAAAGGAGGGGAGAAGCGCTCCAAACCAAGCTGAAGACCAGCTAACCAACCTAGACCCCCCCCACCCCTTGGACGTGCGCTGTATTTAGGTACGTTGTCCTTGAAACTTTCCACTGTCTCTCCTCTCTCCTCCTCTCTCTCCCCTGGCTGTCTCTTCTGGCTCTCCTCGCTCTCTCTCCCGACTGTATCTCCTTGCTCAGGCACTTCCTAATGTAGACCATACAAAATATTAGAGGAGTTAAATATTTTCTGGACACGGGGTATATACAGGTGGTCAGATCTGTGCATGTAGAAGTGAAACGGCCTGTGCAGGTTGTGTGTACAGAAAAGTGGCACTGACTGAACAAATACAACTGATCAAGGGCAGAGAGCATTGTGCACTATATCATCAAGTGGTTGCCATTAGTTACTGCCGTGAGGAGCCATGATGCTCTGCATTGTCTGTGCTGCAGTAAGTGGCAGTGAAAAGGATGTGTGGGTGATTGTGACCATGCAGGGCTGTCAGAGATGGTGCACACGTAGATTCGTAGAACATTACTGACTGTTGTCTATGGCATCCACTGTAGGTGCAGAGCTTGGCGAGGCCACCATCACTTTCTCCATTTCGTGGGCTCTTTATGACTGTGTTGTTGCCTCCCGGAACTCTGGGTTTCCCCTCATACCGAACTCTGTCGTCCACTCAGTCCCCTTCGGGAGCATTCAGTCCTGCTGCAGAGCAGAGCGGCAACATGTAGATCCTCAGGGCGGGTGTGTTCTGGCCATGCCTATGCCATGGGATGGTATGCCCCTCCCCGTCTGCAGCATCCAATACATTCGGCAGCACTAGCACCATGGGAGGGAGCTTGGGACAGCTGACTTGCGATCGCGATCTACCAGCA